CGTCCCCGGGAGGGGCGGGGGGGGAGGGGAGCGGCGGTAACCCCTCGTCCCTCTTTCCGTCCCTTCAGCTGGTGGCGTCTGCGGCGTTCCTCTGCTTCGCGGCCTCCCGCTCCCGCGGGGCGTACACCGCGCTGGCCGCCATGGAGGTGGTCATCACGGCGCTGTTTTTTCTGCTGTACTTCTTAAAGCTCGATAAAAAGATGAGCTGGCTGTTCTGGCCGTTGGCTGTGAGTATTGGCTGGCCCTTAAAATGAAGTGGTTTTACCCATTTTGTGATTGCCTGTTCAGAGAGGTTACGGGCAATCAGCTCCGTTACTGTTTCTATAAAGTCAGCACAAAAACCAGTGTTTCGTTTTTGTTGAACGGGTGTTTCCTAACGGAGATGGCAGGGTTGTTTCGCATCAATTTCTAAACAGCTGGCTTATATCCGTTAACAGCCCCTCCTGCCATGGGCATCATTTGCTTAACTCGAGAATACTGTAGTTTTCCTCTTTCACATTGCAAATTAAACACACACCTTCACTTAAATATTAATGAGTTCTCCTCTTGCCTCCCCTTTTTAAGTTTATTTCCTGCTTTAGTCTATCAAGCGTAGCCAAGTTGTATAAATTTGACTGCAAAAAAAAAAAAGGTAAAATGAGGAAGTTTTATCACAAACGCGCTTTTTAACGTCAAACCACTGGGTGTCGCTGTCGATCTTACGTGGATATTAGTGTAATTCTATTTTCATAGTAAACCAGCAATTTTTAATGATTCATACAATATTGGGAGCTATTCACGTTCTTCTTCAGTCGTGTATTTCAGAAAAAATACTTTGCTTCCCCTGGCTGTTTCAGGATATTTTCAACTCGGTGATTGCAGCGTTGTTCCTCCTCGTTGTGTGCCTGTTTGCAGTAATAATCAAGACCAACAATGGGACACTGGCTGGAGGAGTAAGTAAGAACATTATTGACGAATTTCAGTTCTTCAAAGGACACGATTTGGACCTCTTGGTATACTTACATTGTGGTGAGACCATGAAGATAACTCTGTCATGGAAGAACGTACTCAGCAGTCACAAACAAAAATGAAGGCACATTCAATGTATCTCACTAAAAAAAACAACCCTCAAATCACTAGTAATTTAAAGATATTACTGGACTTAGGAATCACTACAGAGAACTACTAACACTGAAAACTCCTAGAGCCTAACTAATTCGAGTAACCTGCATTTACTTCCATAGCTTGAAATCCTAGGTGGGAGAATCTGTAGCTCTTTTAGGACTATCCAGTTGGGTTACGCTATTTAAGAAGAAATGCCTATAATCCTGCTAAAAAGAGCTGAAACTTTTTGACAGGCATGCTGGTGCCTCCCTCCTGATGTGTGTATTATTTTTTCTGACACAAACTGAGAAATTACGGCAGTTGAAAAGGTTTTTTCATACTACGATTGTAAGATTTTTGTGTATTTAAGATCAAACCGGTTTAATAGTTTAAGCAACTGGTATTTTTAATTCAAATGAAAACTAACGTAATTAACGTTAATAAAAAATAAGGGGGGAAAAACTCAGTTTTGAAAGTGTTTAAGTCTCCTGAAGTACAAGAGAAGCTAAAATGTGACAAGCAACCAAAAGAAACCCGGAACTTGCCACAGGAGTTTTTCAAAATCAGCTTAAGAGACCATGAGGTGGAAAGCTGATGTCTTCGCTGGCAACGACATCCTAAGCAAAAAGGAGACTTTCCAATAAAGTGACCGGCTACGCTAGAACGTAATATATATTCTCAGTTGTGAAGTTAATAGAAATTAAAGTTAAGTTGGAAGCAGGAGACCAAGCAGGTAGCTTGGAAAACAAGTTTGGACAGAACATGTGACATCTTCAATGTTGGGAGAAACAGGCCTGTACTCCTAGGGCACAAACTGCCTTGAACTGTGCTCTCCTGAAGGAGCTTGCCTTGGCGTTACTCCCGCTGATCAGATAATTCCATTTTAAAACATGCTTGCATCAAAAAACTTGTGTGCATGTGGGATCGGGCTGAAGGGCGAGAGCTGAGCAAGTTAACTTGGAGGTCGTTTGTTTTGCAAACACGTTTTTCCAGTTGCCTGCCTGGAGTTGTGTATTTTTTAAATACTTACGTACATTTTCTTCAATTTGGAATATGTTTCCCGTTCAGAGCTTCAGAGGAGAGGAGCGCTACTTTTTTTCCTGCTAGGCTTGTTTCTACAAATGTTGACTTTTCTCCGGGCCAATACCATTAATTAGGCAGTCCTTAACGAGACAGAAGGCTTTTCATTTAGGATAAAAGCATTGTCTGGCATAACGCAGCATTAGCTTAGCTTTCAAGGAGGACGCATTGTCTCCAGCGCAAACATCAAACAAAGCCGGGGTGTAGACTGCCGTATGAAAGGCTGATGGGATTTAAATATGGATGTTACTTAATTTATCAGCTGTCTCACATCACACATATATTTAGAAGGCCAGAACCAGCTTAGGAAGATGTGTTTACTGCTTCTTTGAGGAACGGTAGATGAGTTAGTGCAGTTAGATAGAGATTCTATGGGGAAACTAACAACATCGTTATTTTTATAGGTGTTCGGTCTTGTACTGCTTGTTCTTTCTGTTGTCGACGCGGTTCTTCTTTTCCAGAAGATTAGCCTTGATCGACCAAGAGGAAGGAATACTCCTGCGAAATAAGACTACCATTTTAGTAAAAGAACGATTTCTCTATTGATTACTATTTTACTGTTCTCTTTTAAATAGTTTGTATTTTCACGTGTTCACCTTTGAATTTCCCATGCATTTATGTACATTTTTGCAAGTATTGTTCGTAAGTTTTCTTACATTTACAAATGTAGTTTCAGTGTTGCAGTTTCACCAGTATAAGCTTCACAGAAAATTGTCCTGTTTTTCTAAACTTAATTGCATTTTCACCTGTATGAAAATTAACTTCATAATTGTCTTCTTTCTGTAATAAAAAGAATTTACAAATAGGCCTAAGTGCATTATTGAACTTCATTTATTTATTTATTTATTTATCAAGTGCACTTGAAGTAAACATTACTTGATTTAATGTACCGATAAACATCTTTAGGACCAGATTTTTTTCACCCTTACTTGTGTTCCTCATTCCATAGATCAGCGTCCTGGCCGATGGCTGTCTCGTGCCACGTGAACGCTTTATTGCTGTGAGACCTTTTGATCCCCAAATTCTCCTTTTTATGTTCAGAATGGTGCTGAAAATAACCACGCTGCCTCCCTAGCATAATGCAATGACGACTGTACTGCAGTGCAATGAAGACAGATAGTAGATAAAATTAAATTGGTATTGTAAGCCACATGAAATACTTAAGCGGCTGTGAGGAGCGCCGCTACAGCTGCACCTGTGCGCAGAGAGCCAAGGGTTGAAGTTCAGTGCCCTCCGAATGAGTCCGATTGTCCAAACCGAAAAGCGAGCACCCCCGTGATGGAAGAGAGTTTCAAGGCGAAAGTGAACAAATAGAGGGCACGCGTTCTGAAAAGCGAGCTTGCGTCAAAGCACTTTCTCAGACGCTGAGGCGTGCAGGGACCGGGGGGAGCCCTCCCGGGCTGGCCCGTGCCGGAGCCGTAGCTGCGAGCAGCACCGAGCCGGGCGGGAGGCGGGCGGGCGAGCGGCAGGCAGCCCGCGCGCCTAGGGGCTGTGCG